AGCTCTGAACCAGGTTGCTGTTATGGGAAGGTTGACTGGAGCGAGAAATAGAGGTCCGTTAAAATCTCCTTTTTTGCGGCGGAGGCGAGTGTAACGCATCATGGACCTGTAGGGGCAGAGAGATGTGTCGGAGCGAGCTATTATTGTGTTGCAGGCGCCTTTGATCTTTGAATGTTTGAGATGAAGGTTGAAATGGTCAGGGGACATTATGTTGGGTGAGAAGAGCGACCTTTGTTTAATGCTTCCACTACGTCGAGATGATCACGCATGACAGAGATCCTCTTTCTCTGCCACGTGTGATTCCACAGCGCGCAGGCCACGACCACTGGGAATGTCTCGTGTAGGGCAGAGGAAATGCTCCGGGGAAAAGTAGCGGGCCTCGGGCCGGCGAACCACTGGTCCTGGAAGAACCCCCCAAAACCCACGGAAGGGGCAGCGTCCGTGTAGAAGCGGAGACCTGTAGGGGCAGAGAGACATACCGGAGAGGGCCATTGATGTTGCAGGCGCCCTTACACTTAGAATCTTGGGTTGGAGATTAGATAATCAGGACAGTAGGATAGGTCGGGAAAAGCCGTGTCTCGGACCGCATTGAAGGTTGAGTGAGCAGTAGTGAAACGCTTATGCAGAGAAGCCATAGAAGGCGAGCAGGAAGATGCTGCGAGGAGGGCAGACATGCCGGTATTCAGCGCCGCTCAGAGCTGCTGCAGGATGGGCAGCATGATGGGGAGCCTGCGATCAGAAGAGTGAAGAATACAGGTATGGATGCCTTTGAGTAGGAGTTTGATTGACAGCTCAGCGCAGCTACTCGGCCAGCTGCATCTGATAGAATCAGAAGATTAAGTAGATTAAGTAGAGAGATGAAGCATGACCGCCGAAGCGACCCTGAGAGCATAGGTGCGAGTCCAGCGCAGCGCGGCATCCTCAGCCGGGCTGCATCCGTTAGAAGCAGGATAAGCTTCTGAGAGAGTGGGTTGCAGCAGTAGCAGTAGCAGCTGCAGCAGCAGCGGCAGCATGAAGCAGCAGCAGTATCCTTAGACAATAACAGTTGTAGCTGTTTAGTGTTACAGTAAAAGAGAGATGTAAAGTGAAGAGACGTCAAAGTAAATGAAGCAGTAGCAGCAGCAGTTGCAGCAGTAGTTGCAGCAGTAGCAGCAGCAGTTGCAGCATCCTTAGATAATAACAGTAATAATCCTGTATCAAGGCCACAGCAGTAGAATATTGTTGTAGCTGTTTAGTGTTTCAGTAAAAGAGATGTAAAGTGAAGAGAGATGTCAAAGTAAATGAAGCAGCAGCAGCAGTAGCAGTATGAAGCAGCAGAAGCAGCAGCAGCAGCAGTAGCAGTATGAAGCAGCAGAAGCAGCAGCAGCAGAAGCAGCAGCAGCAGTAGCAGTAGCAGCAGTAGCGGTAGCAGTATGAAGCAGCAGAAGCAGCATTAGCAGCAGCAGCACGACAATGCGATTCATACGAACAAACAGACGTGTCACACCAGTGTGCGCCGCTTGTCTCCGTGAGCCAGGTTACATACGTGTCTGAAAGAGCCGAGCCGTAGATACAGGTGCAGCCAGGGAGCCCGCGGAGCGGCAGCGGCAGGAACGGCAGCAGCGGCACATGTAGTAGTAGGAGCAGCAGGAGCAGGCAGCAGGAAAAAGCAGCAGCGGCAGCAGGAACAGGCAGCAGCGGGAACAGGCATCAGTGGGAACGGGGAGCAGGCATCAGTAGGAGCAGGCATCAGTAGGAGCAGCAGGGACTGGCAGCAGCGGCGGTCAGAGAACCGTGCCCATGGTTGTTTAAGAGCCTCAGGAAATGAATTAACCTGAATCCGAAACATTCCCATGCGAATAACAGATGTCTCCTGGAGCCATCTTGCTGCTTTGGTTATGGCAGATACGCATGAACGATCACTTTTCCACACGTTCATTAGCTCCAACTCCACTTCACACTCATTGCAGATTCACATTGGGCCCTTTTTCTTTCTGCTGCACTTTAAAAATGCAACAACTGCAGTTTAGTTACCTAATATTTAATACCAGTGACCCAGCTATGTAAATGCATGGCCCCTCCTTTATCCCTCAGATAAACTAATTTAAATACATTTCATTTAACAGTAGTGACCTGCGAGTAATAAGATTAATGCTGCAAGATGGCGCCGTGGCAAGAGCTCTGGAGTGTGCCGTCTGGGGCACGCTGGGGTAGTCTTGCAATTTTTCCAACGTGGTTTTACTGCAAGTGGCAGAACATGAATCTGAATTAATGCACATTGCTCCTCTTATATCCCTCGGACAATAGAGATTATTGCCATTTAATATGCATTGTCCCTCAGTTAGCTCGAACACATGTGAAAACGGAGCCTGCAGACCAAGTACGGGGCGAAAACTGACGCCTGCAGTCCAGTGCGCAGGGAATAATCCGTCTGCAGGTCAGCAACTCACCACCGCATATGCCAGAAGACGCGGGAAAGCAACGGGACAACGCGGCACCGCCAATCGGAGGCAGGGACACGCACGGCACCGCCAGACAGTCTGCACGCAGCAGCAGACCACGAGGAGACGATCAGCATAGAGCCCGCGGAGGGGCCCTGCGGAGCAGCCCGCAGAAAGAGCCCGCAGAGGAGGAGAGCGGCGGAGACACAGCAGGTGCAGGGACGCGGAGGAGGAGCAGACCACAAGCAGCCAGACTGAGAACAGCCGGGTCACGCGCACGAGCAACACGTGAGCAGAAGCGACCCCTCCAAAACAACGCATGCATTGCGAACAGGTGCGTTAGCGACATGCACCTTGCAGACTTCAGAAGGCCGGGAAGTGGGCGTCTCCGGCTTTTAACTTGCTGTCCTGGTGGTTATTGGTTGACTGGATGTGGGCGTTGCTGGTATTGATGAGTCGAGGAAGAGCAGCCTGTGGCCTGGGCAGCAGCAGCCGGGTCTACCACAGTGAACTTTCGCGAAAGCTCCATTTCCTAGGCCTCGGGGGGATCGTGCGTGCACTCAGCAGGAGCCTCGCTGACCTAAATTGCCGCACGGGGGCCTAGGACGCCAAACTACCTATCAATAAAAACATTCAAACTGCATTTTGTCTTCTGAGTCTCTCCAGATTTAAAACTGTTTACAAGTGTTTAAAAATGTCTAATGTGAGTTTTGACATTGATTTGAAATTTAAAAGCAGGTGGGAAGGTTCTGACTAAAGAGGGGAGGTGTTCTGTAAGGCGGAACTATGTTATGCTTCACCCGGACATGTGTTGTGGTTACACACATGTTATTACCTAAAGTAAAGACGTGACTTGATGGACACACGTGTTGTCTGTGTTATTACGTTAAGTGAAGTTAGGCTAACGTAACAATTGTTATTGTCATGGTGTGGATTTTGTTATTTTGGACTTTAGTTTTATTTTGATATCTGTTCTCTGTGCTTTGATTTTAGTTTGACTTTGACGCCCTGTTTCCTCTGTCTTGATTGTCTGCCCTGCCCTAATGTGTTTCACCTGTGTCTCTGTCTATATGTACCCTGTGCTCTTCTCTTGTTGCTGGTCCATTGTATTGTCAACTTCTGTTCCGTCCTGTTTCTGATTTCTTTGGATTTTGGAGTTTATTTTTATGCCTTGGACTTTGTTTTATTAAAACCTTTATTTTTGCATTCCTGCGTTTGAGTCCTCTATCATCTCACTCCGTGACAGTTATGGCCCTGTTATAGCTTTGTAAAGCAATTTAAAAGATAAGTATATATTCTGTATTCATGTCTCATGGCTTATTATTGTTATACAAAAGCGTTAGTCATCCTTGTGTTTTTTTCACAAAAACTCTCAACTGTTAGTAACTGACCAACAGTTGCTGCACTGCAGGATTACTAAATGATTAATTGTTATACTAAAGGGTCTTTTACAAATGTGTTATTAAAGTGTAAATAGTGTACACTTTACAAAAGCTCACAAAAACTCTTAACTGTTAGTAACTGATTGAATAAATCATGCACTGCAGCATTAGTTTATAATGAAGTATACAATTATTAATCATTAACATGTGGTTTAATCATGGTGTATCAAATCATCTATATATGTAGTAACAAATGGTTACTTCATAATTATTAAATTATTAGATAATCATGAACAAGTTAAGAACTTAAGGCGACAGTAGCTCAGTTGGTAGAGCATTGGCCTTAAGGCCAGAAGGTTGTGGGTTCAATTCCCACCTTTGCACCTTCTCCACCGACTCCCACTGATGACTGCTGTCGTTGTGTCCTTGGGCAAGACACTTAACCCCACTTTGCCCAAAGCCCCAGCTGAAAGATCAAGGCTATGCTCACACTCAGAGAGCAGCCGTCCTCCTGTGGACTCACCACTTGCAGAAGGTCAGTGAGGGGCTGGTGCTATGAGACTTGGGTGGCATCTCTGACTGCCACCCCCCTGACCCAGAAATGGATTAAAGGGTAGAAAATGGATGGATGGATGGAAGTTAAGAACTTGAGGATGTATTAATCATTAGTTAAGCATTTAGTAACTGTAGTAGTAGCTCATGATTAATTAAGAGTTAATTAAACATTTATTAAGCCTAAATAAGGTATAGTTATTATAAAGTGTTACCCACAAAAGATTATGAAAAATAGCGAGGCCTGAAAGATGAACTGAAAGATGACCACCGCATAACAACAGCTGTAGCAAAGTCAAAAGAAGAAAAGCACACAGAGCGATTGGACTCCACTTTATTGGATTAGGCGTTTGTGCAAGAGCGGAAAAACACAGTTTTATCAAAGAATGTCAAAACACAACACATATTAGAAGATTGTCTAAAGGTTTAGAATATCTTATGAATTATGACATGTTTTTAATTTGCAATGGCCAGTTCAACACGCACACCTAAAGTACACACACACGGTTCAAATAAATACATATAGAGCCAGTCCAAACAACACTTCAAACAAATGTATGAAAAAACAACAAAAAAACAAGTTGAAAAGCAAAAGAACTTGCAGCTGGGTTCTGAGTCAGTGTATGAAGCGCTGATGTCACGTGGACTACGAGCTGGTGGTGGTGGACGCCGGTGCAGCAGACATTCTCCAGGTCTTTGACAAGGCGAGACGTAGACGAGAGGTCTCTGGAGTCTGGGTAATAAACCATGTATTTATTGACGATATGTCCACAGAAGGTCAGGGTCAGCAAAACATTTGTCTATCAACTGGATCCTCCATAAGAAGTGGCATTTTTTAAAAACAGGTTCTAGAGTGGAAAGATCAGTTGCGAGAGATGAGAGAGAGACCAGACAGGGAGAGAGACCAGAAAGAGACCAAAAAAGACCAGAGAGAGACACCAGACACGCACACACACACACACACACACACACACACACATGCTCAGTTGGTAGTGCTTTGGCCTTTGAGCCCGAAGGTCGTGGGTTCAAGCCCACCGCGAGACCTTCTCCACCAACTCCCACTGATGTCTGTTGTTGTTGTGTCCTTGGGCAAGACACTTAACCCACTTTGCCTATAAGGAGCGCGGAAGTGATGTTTGCTGCTTGCCTTGATGTGTATGTATGTGTTTTCATCAAACTGAAATATCCCCATTGTGGGATGAGAAAAGAACCTTTTTTCTTCTTCCATCCCTCTCTCTCATACAGGTGCAGCTTACCTTCAGTCTGCAGGCTGCTCGTCGCCACCCTCTGGTGTTGTATTGGGGTCCAGGAAGTCCGGGTGCTGCAGCTCCTTCAGATACTTGGGAGGAGTGAGGATGTGAGTTCCGCCTGAGGGCAGAGGAGGAAAAAGTACTAATGAGTTGTACACAAGTATGATAATATAAATCATCCCTTTACTTAAAGCTGAGGTACGTAACGTAACTATCAATAATAAAATACATAAAACCTATTTGCTTCTATTACTAGTTTTGACAAGCAGGATTTTTTGACCAAGGTCCACCCTCACTCAGCCCAAATAGTGAAATAGTGACTTACAAGATCAAGGCTATGCCATAGAGCAGCCGTCCACCTGTGGACTCACCACCTGCAGGAGGATCAGTGAGGGGCTTGTGCTTTGTGTACTGGGTGGCATCTCTGGCCATAAAAATGAGAGCACCAGCTTTCAGTAAAGTACAAGTTTTTGTATGTTTTTAAGTCTAAAAGTAAAATGCATTTTGTTAAATAATTCATCATACTATATTTAGAGACTATTTAAGCCTTTGAAACACGTAAACAGCAATGTACTTTTCTAGAATTGGTTCAGGAATGAGGCTGTAGATCCACGACTGAGGCGGTAGATCCACGACTGAGGCTGTAGATCCAAGACTGAGGCTGTCTTTAGCTCCATCTACACTAATATAACTTCTGCCACAATCACATCCCACCTACCCAGTCTAAATTCTCTCTTCTTAAACTTTATTACTTAAGCGTTATTGTTAATCTGGTAGAATTTAATCTTCCACTTTTACTACTTGAAGTGAATATATGTGTGTCGTGTTGTAAAGTGCCACTGACCACTTCTGGCCGGGTGCTAGAACTACATTGTTTTTCGCCATCGTATAAACGCTGTGCAGGAGCACTCATTTTTGCTAATTGTCTTGCATCTCTGCAGTGTCTCCGTCTAAACAGGGCCTTAGTTGAAAACCACATTGGAATACTGAAGTTATTGTCTCTGGTCCACAGACACAGCTTCACAGGTTTCTCCAAAAAACATCTGCAGTATTTCAAAACTCTGCAGCTCGAGTCCTGGTTAGTCCAGTCCTCAGGTCTCTGAACTGGCTTCATGTGGCTCGAAGAACAGACTTTAAAGCAGCTCTGCTTTTGTACAAGTCTCTCCATGGCCCCGCACCAAAGTAAATCTGTGTATGTCATATGAACCAACTCAGACTCAGGGAGTCTGAGGAGCGCAAGGACTGGGCCTCCTGCTGGGACTGGGCCTCCTGCTGGGACTGGCCTTGTGCACAGGAACAGTCTTAGGGTGTATTCAGACCTGCACATTTGCTCCACTTTAAACGGACCAGGATTCATTTGGAACTCTGATCCAAAGCTTTTATGCAGGTCTGAATACACACAAACAAATCCTGGTCCGGACCAAAGAACCGAACTGAGACCCACTTTTTTAGGTGGTCTCGCTACGCTTCCAAACGAATTCTGGTCCAAGTCGAATCAGGTCTGAATACATCCGGTGTCGATCCGACACAACTCCAAGATACGTGCACATTTTTTGGGCTTAACAAGCCACAGACAGAAACTGTGAGGAATTAGCCATGCGTCACAGCGGCTAACTATGCTGCTAACGCTGCTGCTAACGCTACACAACAACAATGAGCCTTGTGCAGACCTGGAGCAGTGAGGAGACGCTGTGCAACAGGCATATGGAGTTACAACTGTTCACAGTATACAGTGATGTTAATGCAGCATCTTCAAATCATTTGCATTATTAAAAGCCTGACACTGTTTGACTCACTTCTCAAAAAGAAATATCCTGTATGTAGTGAATTGTGTTATTTGGTTCATACCTGATCCTCAGCGTCTGTTTATCCCGTTGTTATTATAGATCCATGGTTTATCCACATGCTGCTGTCAGTAAGTTGTGGAACAGAGTTATTATCATAGATCCATGTGTGGGACAGGGCACGGAGCGCACAGACAGAGTCTCCTTCGGCTTTCTCCTCACGCATTCTCCGACACTGTTCCAATATGTAAAACAACGTGTTTCTCCTGTGTCATATGAGCTGCTGTTGATGTTGAAGGTAGTTTTGCTCTAAAAAGAGCAAACACAGGCAGAGCAGACATGCTGCACATATGAGCCCTCAATGTTTTTCTCCGGTTCCGCGTCTATCCTCCGTGAGCTCTCACTGTCCAATAGGAGCGCCGATCGTCACACGTGTCAATATGTTTATATAAAAAAGTTCACTTGCAAAAAGTACAGTCTGAATACGAACAAAGAAAAAAGTATCAAAAGAAAAAAGTTTGGTCCACTTTTGATTCGGATCAAGCAAGCGGAGCAAAGGACTTTTCAGGTCTGAATACACCCATACATTAATTGTCAGATAAAGCTCAGAGTAGCATGTTTGAAGTGGTCAAATGACCATAATATTGACAGTACTGACCGATGAGCGCTTCCCACTTCCCGTTGGCCTGTGTGACCTCGTACACACAGCGCATCTCACTGTAGCTCACTCCTCCGATGATGAAGACGATGACCCGGGGGCCCGTCTTGATCTCTGTGGGGCCACGGTTCTTGTGCCAGTTGCCGTAGCGAGCACTGCTGCTACGACACAACACACACCCGTCAAACACAGGATTAAAGTGCGACCGAATAATGAGAACCCGTGGTTTACCTGGATGGGGCGCTGACTTTGGACGACACTTGTCTCTGAGAGATGTACGGGTACAGCTTCTGGTCCAGTTTGTCTTCAATGGCGTCCTGCAATTAACATGTCAATAATCTGTAAAGCAGGTTTAAGGCTTTCTGAACCCTGAGGACCGAACCTTCTGAACACTAAGGACCGAACCTTCTGAACACCTGAGGACCACCCCTTCTGAACCGCAATCACCGAACCTTCTGAACCCTAAAAACTGACCCTTCTGAGCCCTGACCATAGATCCTCCTGAACCCTGACTCAACATTACCTCAATAACATCTTTGACATATGGGGTCCACCGGGACAGCTGGTACGTCTGCTCGCTGATACGCTCTTTCCGGTCAGGTTTCTTGGTTTTCTTTGCTGTTCCCTGGAGAGAAAACATCAGGGTCAGGGTTTTCCCCAGGTAGGGGAGACTGGAGCGTCTGAAGGTGACGGTCTATCGGGTTGAGGCTCTGGGTTTGTCCATGTGTGTGAGAGTGTGAGTGTGAGTGTAAGTGTGAGCGTGTGCGTGCGTGCGTGTACGCGTGAGTTCACCTCAGAGATGATGGGCATCCCCAAGTGGGCCATGTTGGAGATGATGTCACTATCCTCCGGGGGGATGTTTGCGTGCTGCAGCAGTTTACACAGGTTCTCTTCAGTCACTCCTGAGGAACAAGACAAGAGAGTGTTTTTAATGTTGATACTGTATGTGACTGCATTCATGTTGCCTGTATTTAGGTATCATGGCACATTATATCTTTTGTCCTTTTTTCTCTTTTCTCCTCTCTGCTCTCCTCAACTCAACAACTTTATTGTCCCGATGGGGAAAATTGCTTGCATGTAGTGGAGCAGTAAACAAACATTATGACAACACAATAAAATACAGTAAGGCTCACATATCAGGAAGCACAGCTTAATCAAAAGAAGCATGTCAAAACATTTAAAAGTGTCAGTTCAGCACAAACCATAAATGCTGGTCAGGAGGGCCTGACTCCCCGCTCTGGGCTACTCCCTGGACTCTGTGGAGGAGGTGAGGGACAGAAGGGTGCTAGCCAAAGTCACCTCCATCATGGACAACACCTCCCACCCACTGCACAGGACTGTAGAGGAGCTGAGGAGATCCTTCAGTGGAAGACTGAGGCACCCACAGTGCAAGAAGGAGTCAGATAAAGGGCCTTTATCCCCACCGCTGTCAGACTGTACAATAAGTCACTTTAAGTCACTAATGCACTAGGACTGAAAAAACCTGCACTGCTATTGCCATTCTTTCTTTTATTGCCACTAGAATCTGAGTGACTATCTATGCCAAATGTGAGATGTACAGTGCCTTGCGAAAGTATTCGGCCCCCTTGAATCTTTCAACATTTCGCCACATTTCAGGCTTCAAACATAAAGATATAAAAAAAAATTTTTTGTCAAGAATCAACAATAAGTGGGACACAATTGTGAAGTGGAACAAAATTTATTGGATAATTTTAACTTTTTTAACAAATAAAAAACTGAAAAGTGGGGCGTGGAATATTATTCGGCCCCCTTGCGCTAATATTTTGTAGCGCCACCTTTTGCTGTAATTACAGCTGCAAGTCGCTTGGGGTATGTCTCTATCAGTTTCGCACATCGAGAGACTGGAATTCTTTCCCATTCCTCCTTGCAAAACAGCTCGAGCTCAGTGAGGTTGGATGGAGAGCGTTTGTGAACAGCAGTCTTCAGCTCTTTCCACAGATTCTCGATTGGATTCAGGTCTGGACTTTGACTTGGCCATTCTAACACCTGGATACGTCTATTTGTGAACCATTCCATTGTAGATTTGGCTTTATGTTTTGGATCATTGTCCTGTTGGAAGATAAATCTCCGTCCTAGTCACGGGTATTTTGCAGACTCCAACAGGTTTTCTTCCAGAATGGTCCTGTATTTGGCTCCATCCATCTTCCCATCAATTTTAGCCATCTTCCCTGTGCCTGCTGAAGAAAAGCAGGCCCAAACCATGATGCTGCCACCACCATGTTTGACAGTGGGGATGGTGTGTTCAGGTTGATGAGCTGTGTTGCTTTTACGCCAAACATATCGTTTTGCATTGTGGCCAAAAAGTTCGATTTTGGTTTCATCTGACCAGAGCACCTTCTTCCACATGTTTTGTGTGTCTCCCAGGTGGCTTGTGGCAAACTTTAAACGAGACTTTTTATGGATATCTTTGAGAAATGGCTTTCTTCTTGCCACTCTTCCATAAAGGCCAGATTTGTGCAGTGCACGACTGATTGTTGTCCTATGGACAGACTCTCCCACCTCAGCTGTAGTTATCTGCAGTTCATCCAGAGTGATCATGGGCCTCTTGGCTGCATCTCTGATCAGTCTGCTCCTTGTTTGAGATGAAAGTTTGGAGGGACGGCCGGGTCTTGGTAGATTTGCAGTGGTCTGATACTCCTTCCATTTCAATATAATTGCTTGCACAGTGCTCCTTGAGATGTTTAAAGCTTGGGAAATCTTTTTGTATCCAAATCCGGCTTTAAACTTCTCCACAACAGTATCTCGGACCTGCCTGGTGTGTTCCTTTGTCTTCATGGTTCTCTCTGCGCTTTAAAAATAACCCTGAGACTATCAAAGAGGAGGTGCATTTATACGGAGACTTGATTACACACATCATCAGTCATTTAGGACAACATTGGATCATTCAAAGATCCTCACTGAACTTCTGGAGTGAGTTTGCTGCACTGAAAGTAAAGGGGCCAAATAATATTGCACGCCCCACTTTTCAGTTTTTTATTTGTTAAAAAAGTTTAAATTATCCAATACATTTCGTTCCACTTCACGATTGTGTCCCACTTGTTGATTCATGACTAAAAATTAAAATTTTATATCTTTATGTTTGAAGCCTGAAATTTTGAAAGGTTCAAGGGGGGCGAATACTTTCGCAAGGCACTGTAAATGTCTCCAGTGTGAGATCAATAAAGTCTATCTTATCTTAAATTAACATTTAAAACATTGTTCTAAACCTGATCCAATTCCTCTCCTCTAATTTCTCTCTTCTCATCTCTCTCCTCTCTCCTCCTTTCCTCTTGCTCAGAAACGTGTAAACAGACTTGTTGTAATCCTGATAGATTTATTTTGTACCCAGTGACAAGTGTTACGGTAGTGATGGAATGATGATGCCCCAAGGAGTGTATTGACACGTTCTACAATCTATATTGACACTGTATTGACCCTGTGTTGGTAACTCAATGGCGACCTCTGCTGTAGATGTAAATTCATGGCAGGTAAATAAAAACACAAAAAATGTATTCATTTAACAAAAGTTTTTGAAGAGTCTGCTCCAAGGCGATATCTCCTCTTGGACACTATTTCCCCAGCGTTAGAAAACACTTGTTCGATAGCGGTACAACAGCAAATTCTTTAACGAGCCAGCAGCATGATGACACAGTTCGCTTCATTATAAACATAATTTGGTGCAGCACATCCAAACGACACAGTTTTTGTGTCGGTCTCGTAATTTTTTGTCAAAGCAATACACGCACCAATACAAGGTTTCACACTTGAGCTCTCGGGCCATTACTGCCGCACCAGTACAACTCTCAGTTGGGGCGACAGTAGCTCAGTTGGTAGAGCATTGGCCTTAAGGCCAGAAGGTCACTCAGAGAGCAGCTGTCCTCCTGTGGACTCACCACCTGCAGAGGGTCAGTGAGGGGCTGGTGCTATGAGACTTGGGTGGCATCTCTGATTGCCACCCCCCTGACCCAGAAATGGATTAAAGGGTAGATGGATGGATGGATGGACAGTACAACTCTAAAACCTGTTTTAAAACACTGATATTAAGTCCTGACGCTTGTGCTGTGGTTCTGACCGTTCTTGAGGAAGATGTAGAGCAGGATTATGCGGATCTTGTCCATCACCGTCACGTTACTGTCTAGCAGCACAGGTACGATCAGCCTCATGGGGTCTTTGATCTTCTCCCCCTCTGCGTCTGTGCCCATCGCCAAGTCCTACACCATAACACACACATGCACGCACGTATGTACACAATTTTTAACTGTAAAAAGTACCATATAACCCCACATTAGTAAACATAATACAAATATGTTTAGTTTATATATTTATGCAATAACCAGTAGCTCATTTGGTAGAGTACTGGTCTTTAGACCTAATGGTCGTGGGTTCGAGCCCACCACAACCCTGCTCCCACTGCTGTCGTTGTGTCCCTGGGCAAGACACTTAACCCCACATTGCCCGAAACCCTGTTGAAAGACCAAGGCTATCTCATTGATCACGGTTCTATCGTGGTTGATCAGCTGCTAAAGTCCACCTAATTTGCACAAAGATGGGTGTGTGGTCCCCACTGACACGGGGTGACCAGTTTACACGTGCAAATGCTCTGTCTGATTGACTGCATTGGTTGATTTAAAACACAACCAACACATTCCACATGTATATATGGCATTAAAAAGAAGCAAGAAAAAGGAAATTAACAGCAGCACTAAGAACTCTGCCACAATGACTTTTACAGTAAAGAGGAGGTGCACCGTTCCTGGAGGTACTGCAATACCAGGTCAATGCATGGAGAGGACAGAGCAAGCTCCTAATTCCATCTCCCAGTTCCAAAAATCAATTTAATATATGGTCCCCCATGTAGGGGACGTATCAGATATTAAACTGATAAGAACAGATACTACACTTGATCTTAGCCAAAAGGCCGAGAAGCGATGCCACAAATATGTGGCAGTAATTCTGTGGAAGACAAACCTTTGCCACATGGTTGACAGCATCCTGTCGTCAGCGAAAAGAAAAGAAAAGAAAAGAAAAGAAAAGAAAAAGCTTACCTTTCCTCCTACGTGAGATCAGGGGAGAGCGCGTACGCAGTCCCCCACTATCAGAAATTATGCAGTTGAGATTCCCACATTTGGGGAATTCACAAAGGTCAGCACAGCCGGTCAGTGCAATGGATGAGCCTCGCCTTGGGTGAACCACCTCCATGATCATGGTCTCGCCCCTGCCAGGTTAGTATGAATTGCTTGGATCAGAGCCAAGCAATTGCTCCTGGGACGGTGAGCTGGCCAGCATGGTTCCCAGCAAAAGACCTCATTGGTCCCACCTTTGACAACAACAACGCACTGAAGAGAAACCAGAGTGCCTGAATGATGGGCCACGGGTTTCCAGGCTTGGGTGGCAGCTCTGATTGCCACCCCCCTGACCCAGAAATGGATTGATATAGGGGTAGAAAATGACATGACATGAAATATGCAAAGACTCAAAATATAATCTTATAGTAAGTACTCTTTATATATTATTAGTATGTCTATATATAGTAATGTATGTACATGTAAGCATCATAAGCATTGTATCGGTGATGGGTGTTTTGGTGATAGGGGGTAGGCTGCCAGATAAGCTGTTCGAAGCTTCACCCAACACCGTTTTGGGCTATTGTCTTTTCTGTGCTTCTTTTTCGTATGATTGATTTTGTATCTTCTAGATGCCCGAAAAAACACTTGAATTGAAAATTAAAAAATAGCACATATTACAGGCCATGTCAGGTGTCAATTTCCTGAATCCTTGGGCGAGCTACCTGAAAGGGGTTGGAGCCACAGGTTGGAGACCCCTGGTGTATATAATATGAAAACATTCAATAAATATGCTTTGCATTTGAAAGGAAAGCCTCACTTGTTCCACTCGGCACAGCTTGTCCACGGTGCCTTGGTAGCGGTTCATGCAGTCCTCAGCCAGGTGCAGGTGGGTGGAGTACTGGGAAAGGGCCACAAGGATTAAATGTAATAGGAAAATATAAGAAAATATAATACACAGTAATATGTCTAATGAAAATAGAGGTACTTTGCTTAGCTCTTTCTGGTACTGAGGCATCTTCTTGAGCATCTGTGAGAGCTCCTTCATGGTGGTCTGAAAACAAACAACAATCGTACTGCGGGGGGATGTGTTCTAAAAATAACCTGCAATAAGATAAATAAGATAATTTTAAGGCTAAAAAAACCCCTCACGTTATGCAATTTTCTATCCACCTGAACTCACAACTGCTGAAGTGCGATCACAGAGATATCGAACCTGTTCGTTGTAGGTCTGAGCGTTGCTGCAGCTGTCATAAGCCGTACAAACACTGTAAAATACAGCTGCAGAAGACGCCACACTGAGGGCATTGGGAGACAAGCACCAGAGAGGGACCAGAAATACCAGATAAACCAGAAAGAGACTCCTCTTAAATAATCACTGCATTGCACAGAAGGATTTTCTAATACTGTGTGATTTTTGCACAAACCTTCTCCCCAGTCTTCATCTTCTTGCTCGCTGAGAATTCTTTGAGTGACCTCGTCACTGCCCTGAGGAGCAGAAGCACAGCTCAGTGACTCCTCAGTGACTGCTGAGGAGATGGGATGGATGATTTAAGAAGAGGTCCTTTATTTGTCCCACAGTGGGGAAATAGTTGGTGTTGCAGCGCACAGACAGGACAGTAGTGAGACCTCACAACATATAAATAGATAAATAGATAAAAGTGACATTCAGTGGAGATTCTGAAATTGCAGTATTGCACATGATTGCAGGGTTTACTATTTACTGAATGAATGTACATGTTAGAATGACATGTACAGACTGACAGCAGCAGGAAGGAAAGACAAGCAGAACCTCTCTATCTCACAGATTGGGTGGATTAGTCTGTTGCTGAAGCAAGTAACCGTGACACGATGCTCCTGTTTATATTGTGATGTTGTCTTTGTCTATCCAGATACAAGCCATGAAAGAATTGATCAATCAGCCTTAATTTGAGGAGGAAACTCCTGCTTGCCTAAGCAACCGTCTTAGCAACAAGGGTAATTAATGCTATGGTGACATCTCATTCGGTCACTAAACTCCTTATATACAGTCTGGTGTGGGTATGGTTTCAGGAGGTGGGGGCAGAGGGTACTCACGTGGACACCTCTGCGATGTGCTTGTGGCGCAGGCTCAGCCACAGGTCGTCATCCTCGTCCAGTAAGACCTCCTTAGTCCTGGTTTCGCCCATGCCACTGGTCTCAAACCTGCACACAGCTCATGTTAGAGATGCCTGTCCATGTGGTCTCTAAATAAATTTAGAAATTAGATATAGGTTTATTCTTTCATTTGTTCAACAAAATGTCCAAACAATACTACCGATGATCAAACTGTACAGTTCGTAAGTCAGAACAGGAGCACGTCGAAGACCGAATCTTATTGTTCAGGCGACAGTAGCTCAGTTGGTAGAGCATTGGCCTTTGAGCCAGAGGGTCATGAGTTTGAGCCCGACCTTCACCATCGACTCCCACTTTCTTCTGTCGTTGTGTCCTTGGCCAGACACTTAACCACTGGGAACACCAGCCACAGTGGGGTGGCTGTAAAATGCCAAACTGCCGTTGTGTCATTAGGCAAGACACTTTACCCCCCATTGCCTCGAATGAGTCTGGTGTGTGAATGGTTGGTGGTGGTCAGAGGGGGCGATGGCACATACTGGTTGCCTCGCTTCTGTCAGTGTGCCCAAGGGCAGCTGTGGCTACAGTAGTAGTTTATCATCACTGTGTATGGAGTGAAAGAATAATGACATGTAAAGCGTCTTTGAGTGTCCAAAAAAGCGCTATATAAAACTGATGCATTATTATGCCCCTAAAAACAAAGCAAAACATTTCCAAGTTTGATGATCCCCTCACAATATACACCCGTTTAATTTCCTCACAGTACAATTGCTATTGTTATTATTCTCCTTTTTTAGTTTTAAAATATATGGTAATCTATGATACGCACATATATTATAAATATTTTTATTTAAACCTCTGATTCCGATAATTGTATACATGGACACAGATACACACACATATACATGCAAACATAAAGTATGCACACATATACACATAAAGCTACATGCACATGCAAATCTTACATGCATACATATATAACTATAAATATTTATATTCAAATATCGATATTTGTCCATTAAATATATTTGATACATGCATTTCATTTGGTCAATGGTGTGATACGAGTTATGATCGTTGCCCAAACAGTCCCACAGTCTGATTCCAGTAACAACAGAGCGTCTTTGTTTTAATGACGTGCAGATAAATGGTACAGAAGGAAAGGAAACTTCCTTTCCTCCTGCTGCATTCATCTGTGATTTATTTTTTTTATTTTTTTTAATATGTTTTATTGAAGTGTGAACAAGTACAAGATAAACAATCATACATAACATGTTGCACACACATTTTCCTTATTTTTATAAAAGAGCAACAACAACACAAAAATAATAATAATAATAATAAAAAAAAAAAAAAAAAAAAAATTAAAATAAAGGGGGGGGGGGGGGGGCTGGCTTAAGATTTAAAAAAGTCGATAAAAGGCTGCCATTTTTCAAAGAATTTGTTTACTTCACCCTTCCTGAAGTATCGTATCATTTCCAGTTTCAAAAAAGACATAACCTCGTTCATCCATTGAGTGTTGGATGGGGCATTTACAGATTTCCATTGTAACAAAATATGACGTCTGGCAATAAGAGATGTAAATGATAAAACCTGTAATTGCAAGGATGAATAAATGGAAAGGTTTTCTGGAAGACCGAAAATAGCCACATGAGGCGAAAAAGCAACTGTTTGGACTTTGAATAAACTATCAAAATAAATCTGCCAATAGTTTGTGAGTGCTGAGCAAGAGAAAAACATGTGGGTGAGATTACAGGGTGACATACCACACCTGTCACAAACATCCACAGTGGATGGGAATATTTGGGCCAGTCTTGTCTTTGAGTAGTGACATCTAAACAAAACTTTAAACTGAATCAAAGACAAGCGGGCACAAATAGTACTTTTATGGATGAGCCGCAATGCAGAGTCCCACCAGTCATCATCGAGGGCCAGACCCAACTCCCGTTCCCAGGACACCCTAGTTTTGGAGATCAGGTTACCATCGTAAATTTGCATTTTGCCATATATTTTTGAAATCTGAGACTTTTGAGAATGGTCTAATAGAATAAGCTCGGCCCAGGCTTGCTCAGGTGGAAGTTGTGGGAAGCCAGGAAATAAAAGTTTTGCACAATTTCTCACCTGAAAATACCTAAAAAGATGAGAGGGTGGAAGACCAAATGACTGTGCCAAATCTATAAATGAATAAAACACACTATCTTTATAAAAGTCCTTAAAACACTTCAGCCCTCTTTCATGCCATGTGGAAAAAACTGAGTCAGTAAACGTAGGTTTAAACACATGATTTCTCAACAAAGGAGTAAGAGAAGAAGGATCAGAAAATCCAAACTGCTTCCTAAATTGAAACCATATCTTGAGACTGGAACCCACAACAGGACTGTTGGTAAGGCCAGAGGGGTTGACAGCCATAGAGCCAGTTAAGAGAGCAGGTAATGATGACATAGAGCATGATTGGGCCTCAAATTGACACCATGGCACATCCGAGACTCTCATCCAGTAAGACATTCTGGTTATATTCACAGCCCAATAATAGAATTGAAAGGTAAGGAAAGACCCCCATCAAATTTACAATTTTGAAGTATCTTTAATCTAACCCTGGGTGCCTTGCCGTTCCATATAAAATTTGAGATGGTAGAATCGATTAGTTTAAAAAAATGTTTGGGTAAAAAAATGGGCAAACTTTGAAACAAAAACAGGAATTTTGGTAGTACAACCATTTTAATTGTGTTAATTCTACCAATCAAAGTGAGAGGCAAGGAATTCCATCTCTGAAAGTCTGCCTTCACTTCAGTCAATAAGGGTAAGAAATTTGCAGAGTAAAGAGATTTGTAGGATCTAGTTAGATTAATCCCCAAATATTTAAATCCCGAAGGAGTGAACTTAAAAGGAACATCAGATGGAGAGAGTTGCATGGCTGAATTATTAACAGGGTAGCATTCGCTCTTTGAAACATTGACTCTATAACCCGAGAAGGAGCCAAACCTATGAAAGATGGAAATTATATTCGGAACAACAATTTTAGGATCAGAAACATACAATAACAGGTCGTCTGCATAAAGTGAGAGTTTAAATTCTGTGCCCATACGGGTGATACCGGTGAAGAGTGAAATAAAGGAGGGCAAATAAAAGAGGAGACAAGGGGCAACCCTGTCTGCAGCCTCTATTTAGAATAAAATATTCAGATCGAACATTGTTTGTAACAACACTGGCACATGGTTGAGTGTAAAGAAGGCGTATCCAAGATATAAATACTTCACCAAAACCAAATTTACTTAAAACCGCAAATAAATAGCGCCATTCAACTCTATTGAACGCCTTTTCAGCGTCGATTGTTATTACAACTTCAGGAACGGCATTGGCGTCTTTTGAGTGTATGACATTTAATAGAGTACGAATGTTATAAAAAAGTTGTCGCCCCTTTATAAAGCCTGTCTGTTCTTTTGAGATAGTCACTGGTAGTGACTTTTCCAAGCGGCGAGCCAAAGCTTTTGCCAGAATTTTTGCATCCACATTCATTAAAGAAATAGGTCTAAACGAAGTACAAAGATCAGGATCCTTATCCTTTTTTAGTAAGAGGCTAATTGAGGCCTGTCTCAATGTAGGGGGAAGGCTACCAAAAGATAGAGATTCGACATATACAGAGTGCAATAAAGGAATAAGTTTTGTCTGAAAAGTTTTGAAGAATTCAACCGGATAACCATCTGCGCCCGGGGCTTTGAGATTGCTCATGCTTCGTAAAGCAAGGAATAGTTCCGGGACAGTCAGTTCCGAATCTAATAGAGCAGCCGATTCCTGGTTCAAGATAGGAAAATCAAGGTCATCTAGAAAATTATTCATGTCTCTCACATCTGAAGAAAATTCTGAACTGTACAGAGTCTTGTAAAAAGTAGAAAAAACTGTGTTAACAGATTTAGGGTCCTCCACCACAGCACCTGTATTATCTTTAATATGCGGTATTAATCGAGAGGATGCCTGACGACGCAATTGATGAGCTAATAATCTTCCTGACTTCTCACCATGTTCGTAATATTTAGTGCGAGAATGCAGTAGTAAACGCTCTGCTTCAGATGTTGTGATAAGGTCCAAGTCAGTTTGTAAAACCACTCTACGCTTCACTAAGTTTTCACATGGGGTCACTGCTAATTGTTGATCAATGGATTTTATCTCAGCGGATAACTTCTTTACCTTTGATTCTCTTATTTTTTTTACGTGTGCGGAATATGAAATAATTTGGCCCCGCAGGTAGGCTTTTAACGACTCCCACAGCAAAGCTTTAGAGATGGGGTAAGACTCTGATTGATTAAAAGACATGAAATCGTCTATCGCCTTAGTAATAAATGTACAGAATTTGTCATCTGACAACAAGGAGATATTAAATCTCCATGGCGATGAGTAACGGGGACCCTGTGAAATCTGAATATCCATCGAAATTGGAGAGTGGTCCGATATAATTATTGGATGGTATGTTATGTCTTTAACCTTAGGCAAAAGTTTGGCATCTATGAAGAAATAATCTATACGAGAGAAAGTATGATGTACGTGAGAATAAAAAGAGTACTGTCTACTATAGGGGTTGCGAGATCTCCATGGATCAACATAGCCTCCACTGGACATGAAAGAGGAGAGCGTTCTAGCCATTTGGGAATGGACAGAGCTAGGCCTGGAGCGGTCTAAAAGTGGGTTAACTGAGCAATTCATGTCCCCAGCAAATATCAAATAATGATTATCGAGTGAAGGCAGACTTCCAAACAATCTATTCATGAACCCTGGATTGTCAAAGTTTGGTGCATATACATTAACCAGTATAACTGGAGAGTTAAAAATAGTGCCCAAAACAATCAAATACCTGCCGTCTCTATCAGAAATGGAATTAGTTAGTGTAAATTGAACAGATTTACCAATCAATATGGCAACCCCCCTGGCCTTACTGTTGAAGTTAGAATGGAAGACTTCAGACACCCATGGACATCTCAATCTGACCTGATCCTTATTTCAATTTGGAGAGACGAGAAACAGGGAGTTGAGTATTTTATGAAAGGAGGTTTGGCGCCCTAGGTCCCGGTGCGGCCTTCGGATCGGAAAGGCTCCTGCGA